CCGGTCCCCCTGCTCCACCCGCGTTCCCGGCGCTGCCTCCCGTGTCCCGGTCCGTCCACGCTTCCCCTCCGCGCTGCGGTCCGGCGGCACCGGGCGCGATTCCTGCCCGCGGTTCTGCAGGCCCGTTTCCCTAGCAGCTCCGGGAACAGCGGGGTGCGGGTCCGGGGCCCTGTGCCGGGCAGGCAGCCCTGTCCCGGCCGGGCCCTCCTGCCCCGGCCCTCCTGCTCCTTGGGCCCCTCGTGGTGGCCCCTTCTGAGCCGGGGCTCCGGGCGGGGGTGCGGGAGCGTGACGGGGCTGTGGCCGCCGCACGGGAGCGGCGCCGAGGAGAGCGGGAGCAGCCGCCGAGGGAGCGGGCGCAGCCGGGACGGGCGCGGAGGCGGCGCCACGGCCTCGCTGCGACGCCGCTGCCCGGTGGTGCCCGCGCTCCCGCTGGAACGGGGATTGTCCCGCGCGCCCGGCCGGTGAAGGGGCTGCCCCGCCGCGCCGGGGGCTGGAGCTGCCTCCCTTCCCGCAGCAGCAGCAGCCGGTGGCGGCTCTGGCGCGAGCTGCGGCAGCACGGCGGGGAGCAGGGCCCCACGGGCACGGGGGGGTCTGCGGATCCGTGGTGCTGCTGTCGCGGCGCGGCCCCCCCGCCGGGTGCCGTTGGCCGCCGCGGGTTCCCGTGGGGCGGCGTCTGCCCCGCGGCCGCTTCCCCTCGCGCCTGGGCGCGCTGACCTACTTGCGGCGCCGCCGCGCTCGCCGCGCGCCACGGGGGCAACGGGAGGCCCGGCTGAGCGGGCAGGGCCCCGCGGCGGTGCTGCCGCATGCACGGAGCCGAGCTCGGCGAGGGGCTGCCGGCCCCAGAGCCGGAGCCAAAGGTGCTTGAGGGCAGACCCCAGAGCCTCCCGGCGGGATGCGGGAGCAAGGGGAACGTGTTGAGCGGGCGCTGCCTGCACGGGAGGCTGTTGTGCTCCCTGCGCCATCTAGCAGCTCTAGCTGTGGGGATCAGAGGGCTCGGGGATCCAGCTCCTTTCGGGGTGCTGGGGACAAGGGCTTTGTGGCCGGCGCGGTTTGTCCTTGCCGCGGGGCACACGTTCCCTGCCATGGCCTGACTCGGCTCCGGCCGCTCTCTGCCCGCAGAGGCCCTTCTCGAGCAGGCCATGATCGGGCCGTCGCCGAACCCCCTCATCTTGTCCTACCTCAAATACGCCATCAGCTCCCAGGTAAGGGTGCCGTGCATGGTGCCGTCCCCGCGCGGCCCCGCACGCGGCAGAAACGCCGAGCACGCGGGGCCGGGGCGAGCGGCGCCCGTGCCCTGCGCACGGACGGGCTGCACCCGGAGCCCGCGCGGTCGCTCCGAGCCCCGCGCTGCCCACGCGCCCCGCGGGGTCGTCGGCAGCGGACGCGTCAGCCGGCACCTCCAGCTGTCCGTTGGGATGTGTGCCGGGCTGGTGGCGCGGCCGCGGCGGCGCGGCCGTGCCCTCACCGCGCCACCCGCTCTGTGTTCTCCTCCTAGATGGTGTCGTATTCCACGGTGCTCACGGCCATCAGCAAGGTAGGGCCGCGCGCCAGGCTCCGCTCCACCTGCGCTCCCTGTATCCGCTTCCCCACGCGGCTCCCGCTGGATATAGGTCAAGTGGAAAATGGCAGGCCCTGCTGAGTCAGCAGCGGGCGGGCGGCGGTACCGAGGGGCTCAGAGCCCTCCCGTGTCCCCCGGGAATGGCTGTCACCCCCCCCATTCCCCCCTGCTGCCACCCGCTCCCATTTGGGGACGGTGCCACCCCATGCGGTTGCGTGCAGGGCTGCCAGAGCCTCGTCCTGCAGGGCCCGTCGGATAAACCACGGAAACCGCAGCCCTCAGTGGCACCGCGGCACCCGGGGCTGCTTTTGGAGAGGCAGCGCTGCCGAGCTGGCCCGGGGAGCCGAGCCCGGCGCCACAGCTGGCACCCGTGGGCCCCGGCATTCCCGCGCCGCTCCGGTGCCCGTGGGCATGCCAGAGTTGGAGCCGCATCCGCACGCAGCGTGGCCGCTCCGCAGGGCGCCTGTGGCTGCTCGGCAGGGCGCCGTGGCCCCTTGCGGGCGGCGCAGCCCCCTGGGCCTCCCCACGGCAGCTTTATCAGGGCGACCTCTGGTTCGGAGCGAGGGCTCCGCGTGTTTGCCAGGGGTGGGAGCGGGGAGTGCCGGGGGCTGAGCGCGGTGGCGGCTGCGCTCCCGGCGCGCCGGCCGGGCCGCTCCGAGCCGCGGGGCCGCTCCGGTGCTGCTGGGGGCTCGCGGCCACCCGTGCCGTGCGGAGCTGACCTTGAGAGCCCCGCTCTGCTCCTTGAGAGCAGCGGGGGCCCGCGGGCGGCTCCGGCGCAGCGAGGCGGCCCCATCTGCTCCGCCGCCGGGCACGGCGCTGGCGTCGGGCCACCGCGCTGGCACCGCAGCCCTGCGCCTGGCAGGGGCTGGGAGCCGAGCCCCACATCCTGAGGCGTTAGGAAACCCGGCCCTGTCGCCGTGGCCCCGTTGGCGGCTGTGACCCGGCCTGGACTGCGCTGACCTAGTTCCCCTTCGCGTGGTGCTGAGCGGGGCGGGGGTGGCCGCTGCTTCGTGGAGGGGGATTCGCTGCATTCGGGGGCTGCCGAGGCCTGGACCCCCCCTCTCTCTGACCTCCCTCCTTGTTTCCCCGCTGCAGTTCGACGACTTTTCCCGGGACCTGTGCGTGCAGGCGCTGCTGGAGATCATGGACATGTTCTGTGACCGCCTCAGGTACAGAGCAGCCCCGGGGTGGCCCCAACTGATTTGGGTCCTGACTGAACGAGGTGGCTTCTCCATCGGGCTCTGTGTTTGTTCCGGTGCCACTGGGCCTCCTCCCGCTGCCCTGGTCAGGAGATGCTGCCCAAGCACTGGCCTGGGCAAAACAGAGGGTCAGGGTCCCGCCAACCCTGTCGGCTTCATTCCAGGCTGCACAAATTGCAGCTGCTCTGTGAGAAGGGCCTCCCCGGTGACACTCCTGTCAGCACCTACATACCCACTCGAGTCCATAGGAGCGGGCCCGGGCCTGGTGGCCAGGTGTCCCCTCCATGCATTAGGGCTCCTGTGCGCAGCCTTGCCAGGGCCGGGGCCGCGTGTTCCCACTCCCCGTCCTGCCCGCGCTGCCCCGGGACCTTGTTTTGCTCCATGCTCTTCCGCTGCCCTCGCAGGGCCCAGGGGAGTCCAGACAATTCAGGCCACGCAGACTGTTTTAGGAAGCCCAGAGATCTTCCTGTTAACCCCTGCCGGCCTCCGCGGGGAGGCTGGAGCGGAGAGGATGCAGCGGGCAGGAGGAGGAGGAAGGCTGAAGGTAGCAGCTCTTCAATTACATGAAATGGAGCTGCAGCCATGAATATGCAGCAGGCGCAGATGTTGGCAAGGAGCTGTTGCCGGCCAACTGCAGAGCCGGCCACTTAATCCAGTTCCTGCCTAATCTGATCCTGCGCTTAATTTGATCAAAACTTGTGGCCCCCATGATTTGTGCATCAGGAGGGGAAAGCGCTCACCTCCCGCAGCACCCTGCGCGATGCTGAGCCTCTCTTAGCAAGATAATTTGATTAGAGGCTTGGAAAGCATCCCTGTGGTTGGGCGGCCGGAGCGGGAAGGCCCCCCTTGGCTGCAGTGCCGCCGGGGCCGTGCCGCCGGAGCACCGTGCAACCGGTTCCCCAGGCCGCCCCGCTCGGCACCCGCGGTTCCCCGGTGTAGAACGGGGCGATAACGCGGCCCTGGGTGAGCAGGTTCCCGTCCTGTCCCCTCGGCAGCTGCCACGGCAAGGCGGAGGAGTGCATCGGGCTCTGCCGTGCCCTCATCAGTGCCCTCAACTGGCTGCTGCGCTGCGCCGCCTTCTACGCCGACAAGGGCAAGGAGCCGCTGGAGCAGGCGGCGGCTGAGGGCCAGCTGAAGATGTGCCTGGAGCGGCTCGAGAAGATGCTGGGGAGCACCAAGAACCGGGCGCTCGTCCACATCGCGAAGCTGGAGGAGGCCTGTACGTGGCGGCCCCTGCGCGGCCTCGCCGCCCGGCGGTGCTCGCGGCCTCCTGCCCCTCGCTGCTGGCCCCGCGCGGGAGTCACGGCCACCTCTCCCTTCCCCCTGCCCAGATCCTGCCGCATTGTCCCTGCGGCTCCCAGCCCATCCATCTTCCGCCAGCGTCTCCTCCTTGGCTCCGTGCCACCCGCTGCCCCCTCCCTTCCGCGCTGCCCTTGGAAGAGGAGCAGAATTAATGCGGAGGCTGCGGAGCCGCGGGCGGGCGGCACACGCCGCGCTCCGCCAGCCGGCCTGGCGCAGCCCCGCGCCCTCGCCAGAAGGCCGTGCCAGCCGGAGGCCGGGGCGGGCGCCGCGC